GAAGGATATTGCACCCGCCATTCCATCCCGTCCTCCTCCTCCTCCTCTTATACGCTCACGGGAGACGCGGTCAGTGCAGTCACCTATACAGCACAGCTGGAGATCGATATCGGATCGTTTGCCCTCTTCCCTCCGCGTCTGGCTGATGTATATATATCGTCGCGCGAGACTCGGTATATGATATTTGTTTGTGCACGGTCTGGACTACACGTGTGCCAATTAAAATCGTAAGTCTATGGAGTACTATGGACTATGGAGTATTCAGCAAGTTTACCAATACAACGTGATTTAACTGACTCGGATTGTAATTCATTTGGTTGTTTGAAATATTGTAATTTAGTTTAACATAGTTAAACTTGACTTTGTGTTTAATAATTTACCCTCATTTCAAGCTTTCAGACTGTAGCTTGTCAGATAATACATCAATTTTGTCACTTGAAAATGTTGTTTAAAAATCAAACCAACAACTGAACCAATACTTATTACGTCAAGAACAAACCTTGTCGTTAGGGATATCAGAAAAATTTGGAATAAAGTTTCATCTAACGCTATTAAACAGCGATTTTAATGGTATGTTTAGGACATTGTACACTAGTTTCCTAATAAACCCAAGAATAAAGATCAATGTTACGAGAGTATATATGTCTCCATTGTTTTTTTAAAACCTTCAATGTAGTTTGTATTATATTTAGAGATATTCGCCAAAAACGAAAAACAAGAAATGTCTCACTTTGTCATTGGATTGTTTTCATACTAATTTGAGTTCGTAAGGATAAAAAAGAACTAGAGTACGAAAAAATGTTGATTCTTTTGCCCCATTTGTCATCATATACATATAAATTACCTCGATTGAGATCGAAAATATCAACAATGTAATACCTCGAATATTCAGTCTTCGATTATTATGAACTCGTTTCGTGACGACATGAAAACCACGAGCATGGAAACTACCCTCGTTTTCTCTAATTCGTAGTTTGTCGGTAGTAACGTGGACTCCCTTTATGTGCACGTGGTTCGCTCAATTGGCGACTCCATGTTCCGGAGACTGGCTACACATCGTGCAGGGTATCGATCTGGTCCACAGTTAATCCGTACAGGGCCCGAGACAAAATCAATGAACCGTGACGCCATTTAATTACGCGTCGTGCACCTGCACCTGTAGCTATTGCACGTGTAGTCTGTGGGTAATTCCAGCTGCTTCGGTCTTCGCGTCAAATCGATTCGCTTAGAATATCCGTATAAGCCACTGAGAGTGATCTGGTAAACTGCATGATCGTAGCTTGTTCGGCTCATCTGCAGCAAGTTGCGAGTGTTGCTGTCTATAGGTAGTGCTATTACATCACTGTTTCTGGATAATTATATCGAGAGATGCCTTGAAGTCCTTCGGAAAAAGTAACGCAAAAACAAGGGTATACCTTGCATTAATAAAACTGTAGAAAACTTTGCAAATGAGTTTAACCGTACGATGTATAAGTATACCCAATTGAATTTAGACTTGACGGTTGCAAAGACTAAGAAATTCAAATGGTTTTAAAGACATTGTCCCGATGGGAAATTAACTTTGGTTTATTGTCCATTTGGCGCTATATATCTTCGCTTCACATACACCTCGTCCAAATGTGCAAGCCGCGGGTCAGCGTGAAGTAAGGGCGCTTTAAATAAAACAAGTTAATTAAAACTTTCGACTTTTGACTCCCGTGAAACTTATGTGATTTAAGAGCTTCGCTTTGATTCAAATTTAATGAGATAAGCTTTCTCGGAAAAAAGTTCCTTTCTCAGGGTTTAGTGGAGTAAAGCGTAAAAAAAAAAAAAAAACGCTTGAGGGAAGTTGAACAAGAAAGATGCATCGATTTGACTAGCAGAAAGGTTAATATGCTACTANGATCGTTACAATATAATGAGTAATGAATATTTTTATTGGTCTTGGAAAATGTTGACACGCGTTAAAAAAAAAAAAAAAAAAAAAAAAATCACCGCTATAAAAGGATCTGCCCAGCCGGGAAGCAGACGATAAATATTTATAAAACAGCTGACGAGATGTATAGGGGCAGCTGTCCGTGGCAGAGGCAAGCGTCGCGACCCGTAATTTCCATTTCATATATACGTACGATGAATACTGCCTGGAAGTCATATTCACGTCTGGACCCCACTCGGTTTATTTATAGATGGGCTTGACTCGACACTTGAAATTCAATCGCGCTGTTACTGCTTTCACCTGATTTGACCTCCGTTCTTGGGGTCGAAAGATTAAGCGTCAGGGAAACTATTTCAGTAAAAAAAGTAAAAATTTCACCGACGAGGTTTTTGATTGCCACTTCGCTGTCCGGTACGGCTCATTGAAAAATAGTTTCCAAACAGCCGCAAATGCGATGCGCTTTATGATGATTACAGCACAAAAATTGTGTAGTTTTTGATTTCAAATGAAAATTCTTTGAGCCCGAATTGATAACCAATCCGTAGCAAAAAAAGGAATAAAATTTTCCCATGAAAATGGTGTATTTCTCGTGTTAATCCACAGTTTACTGAAATAACACTTTCAGCATACTTGAGGTGCCATTAAAGTCTTGAAACTCACGAAAATTTTGTGAGATACGAAGCGTATAACAAAAATGCTTCAACACAGAAGCCAAATTGCGATGGTCTCGTTAAATCGCCAGCAACTTTCGTCAAGATGAAGGGAACGTTTCGTTTTTGAACGTACAGCTCGAAAATGGCCATTTTCCCACCAAACTTTTCCCAAAAGGCGCTTTCGGCTGCCTCGGCGCGTGTCGTGCAATTATTTTACAGTGCCCAGCCGGTGCCAGCAACTCGAGGAGTCACCGCTGAAAAAGCAGCTGGGAGAAAGGAAAAAAAAAAAAAAAAAAAAAAAATAACGTGTAAGAGTGGCGCGCGGTTGACGGAATAATAAAGGGCTATTTTAGCTGGAAAGCAAAATTAAACGGCTGGCGAGGAAAAAGGAGCGAGAGAGAGCCTTTCTGTCAGGAGGGGAGTAATTTAGGTTTCGAGGGAGAGAAGGAAAGAGAGAGAGAACTCGTGTAAATAATATTTCACGCGCACTCGCGGAAATGCGAGCGCGTTTTCTCGGCGACGCTCGGCTGCTCTTTTCGCTTTTCTACTCGGCAAGGGTCTTTCCCTATTTTTTTCCATGTTTTTGCACTCTCTGTCAGTCTCAAGCTAAAGGGACATTCATTTTCGCGTTAGGTTTGAAAAGACGGACATCGCGTCGTCTCCTGTTACGTATAAAAATTCTGGGGGGCGACAGAGTTGTGGAATGAAAAAAAAAAAAAAAAAAAAAGAGTTGAGACAAAAGGCTGGTTTTTTTTTACTTTTCGTTCAACTGTGGCAAGCGTTTGGAAATGAAAAATTGATACTCGTGACGCGTGTGTTGTGGTAACGAGCGGAAATTTACACTTGCGTACATGAATACCATGAAAATGCATATAGGTATACACGCAGACCCATACTTGCATGTGAACGTGTAACTGATTATGGAAGGTTGAAACTAAAGAAAAATAAAAATTTTTAAACTTTTGCTATAAAAAAGAATATAACAAACTGTACTCGTAAATAAAATTCAGTACTTTTTTTATATTCTTGGCCATGATATGTCACGTAAAGCATAAAAGAATCTATTTGGTTTTGAGTAGCTGAAATACTTTGGCTATCACTCGATCACTCCGTGTGCAAGTTATAAAATTTGTTCTTGATTTTCGCAAAAATGTGCATTGTACGTTGTACTCACAGAAAAGTATACAATTTTTGTACGTTTTTATTTAGTGGTTTCAAATAATGAAATTTACTTCTGGTAGAATTCTTTAATTTTTTTTTAGATTAATTAAAAAAATTGCATCTAAATGGCTACATAAAATTTTTCACAGATTTTTCAAGCAGATTGGTAAAATGGTTTCTTAAAAATGTCTTAAACTGAAAAAAAATTTACATTATGCGTGTTCCTAATATCGTTAATGAACGATAGATAATAAACTCCATGACACGTTACAGCCATTCTAGCACAATTGACTCAGCTGCACTGGCGAATACGAAATCGGCTACCGCAGATCAAGTAACCGCAAGAAAATAGTCATATTGCTTCAAGAGCTTAATTTAGTCTGAGTATATAGTACAACACCGATATTGGCATTCAGTGCTTCATTCTCTAGTCAAAGTATCGGTGTATGCAAGTACAAAGAGAGAAAGGCAAATGGAAAAGCAAAATTTTGTAATGGCTTCACTCTGTTGATCTTTGACGTTTTCTTAAAACGTGTCATACGTTACAAAAACATAAAAGTAGAAAAAAAAACTTGAAACTATTTTGAAAGCTTGTGTACGCGGTTGATTTAATAATTACATTAATAGCAATTGAGGGTGCAATCACATAGGCTTCTTCAAGTTTCAATTTTCTAGTGTATTGACTAAATAATGTTTTATAATAAATCAGATGTTTATTTTGCTGAAATCAAACTATCATCGTACTGGTGTTCAGCAGTTTTAATTAAATAGCCTACCAAAGATCTAATTTAAATGTATTAGATCTCAGATGATCTCATCCTGAATTTAGCTTAAATCTGAAAAAGCTTAGTTTAAATTAGTACCGATATCAAATTTCGTAATAGTAATAATTACTACACGCTGTCATAATTTTGATATGAGGTCAAAGTCAAAGACAAATCTGACAATATTTTCTCTTGTTTTCAATACGAGACGAATTTTTCAGAAAAATTTGAAAAAAATTATCAACTCTGCAAAAACTACTTTTACTACATTATTATTTAGTCATCTTGTTTTTTAAAGGCTAATAGCATTTTTCGAATTTTTTTTAATGTTCTTATAATAAAACAATGTTTTAAACAATACAACGCTGCGTGAAACTCGTGACATCTGTATGTGTTATGTACATAGTTTTTATTTTATGCACACTTTAAAAATTTATGCTATAGAATCGTTTTTGCGAACTAGTATATATATTTGAGAGCAAGAGATTTTTTTGCGTATAGTGTACACTCTAATTATCTAGTTCTGTTTTTTTGGTTCCACAACAACTTGTGTGGCGTATTTTTTATTTTTTTTACTGTGTTGTTGAGATAGTGAAATTTCTAATAAATTTTAGATTTGTGTAGAGATCTGCGAGACAAAATTGACAAATGTAATTATTTTAACAGTAACCGTAACATTTTCTTTTTTTTTTTTATTTGCATTTATAAGACTATTATGCTGATTAATATTATGCTTGTGAGTTTCATACACATACAAATTTCTTAAAAGGATAAACCAGCAACTGAATAATAAACCTTACAAGCTATTTAATATAACAGTACTTCATATATTAAAATTCCTCACGATATTTATGATACAGGGATATTCATTCTATGGTAATGGTATTAATTTCATGGTTGGCTGTAACCGAAGCTCAAACATCCGAAGCGCTTAAATCAGTAATTACTAGCAACGATGAATTTAGTAAACATTTATATGGGGTAAGAATTGAGTTTTTATATAAAATAAACCAGCCAAACATTCATGCCATTTCGTAAAATTTAAGGCAATTGTCAGCAACTATCAACATGAAAACCTGATCTGCTCCCCTTCAAGTGTCCATACGGTTTTGTCGATGCTTGTTTTTGGAGCTCACGGTTTTACAGAAACTTCTCAAAAATTGCGAAAAAATCTTCGTTTACCAGCTGACGTTCGAAAGCTTACATATGGTCTAAAGGAATACGTAGCAACATTAAGTGTACGGTTTCAATATATCTGTTATAATAAGATCGTTACAATATAATGAGTAATGAATATTTTTTTCCAACAATTTTGCCTAAGTTAAAAAAAAAAAAATTACAATCATTCAAAGAAGTTAACATGATACAACTATCCAACAGAATGTCGCAAACGTCGATCTTCGAGTTGCTAATACAATTTTTGTTAGTAATGAATACACAATTCGACAGGATTATATAAAGTTAATCAAGATAATATTTAAAGTTGAGCCATATAATATTGATGTTTCCGACTCTGTAAAGTCCGCTAAAACCATCAATAAGTGGGTAGCTGATAAAACAAATCATAAAATCCAAGAACTTGTCAATTCGGGTGAGTATCGAATTCAGTTCAAATTTGGGCCTATTTGCTACATTGATAATTTGGTTCATTTTCAGACAATATCAACGAAGGAACTTGTATGATTTTGGCAAATGCGATTTACTTCAATGGTAATTGGAAAAATTCATTCGATCCGAGTGAAACTAAAGATCAAGTTTTCTACGTATCTGATCGCCAGAAAGTGATGGTACCAACTATGTACAGAGAAGGTTTCTATGTAACTGGAGATATTCCTTGTTTGGGCGCTGAATATGTTAAAATTCCTTATAAGGTGCATCCTTAATTTTTTCTTTACTACTTAACGATTAAAGTATTAGTCCAATGCAAGAGAATCATGCTATTCAAGCTAATAAATGCATAAAAAATTTAATCGGAAATTGTATACGTAAATTTGAAGTAAAACATTACTACCTCATTATTATTTAATATATTTTCAGAATACATCCATGTCAATGATCATCATCATGTCTAATGGAAAAGGACATTTACAGTCCATTGAAAAAAATATAGGGAACTGCCAAGAACCGTACAATTTTAAAGGTCAAGAGTCACAAATTTCCTTGTACCTACCAAAGTTTAAGGTGGAAAGTACCATTGATCTCTCGACGCCGCTGAGAAAAGTATGTTTATCGTGATAAAAATAGTAGGTACATAAGTCCATGTTTGAATTGTTACTGTTTCAGTTGGGTCTGTCTCATTTATTTTCTACTCCAGATTTAAGTTTTATATCGAATGAACCTTTGTACATAACTGATATGATACAGAAGGTGATAATCAAAGTAAATGAAAGAGGTAGTGAAGCAATTGCTGATACGTGTAAGTTTATAAAGTCTAGAACTTTTAAAATTAGAATGATGAATATAAAATCATGAAACAAAAAAAATAAATTATGATATCAGTTTCGCATGAAATGAATGTTACGAAAAACTAATTTCTACCATTTCAGATCTAAGTCTCTCTTTCCGTATGTTTTCACAGCCAACAACAATTCGTGTCGACAAACCGTTTTACTTTTTAATCAAATACGAAGAAATAACTTTGTTCCAAGGACATGTTCTTAACCCACAGAACTAGAAAATAATGCGAGAAACCTTATCTAAAACTTATGTATCAACAGTGTACGTTAACTTTATGTCAAATGAAGTGTTAGAATAATTTTCCGAGTTCTGAAATAAAGTTACAAAAATATGATTCATAAAATAAAGTTGCAGAAAAAATTTTGGTATCAACAACGTGGTGACATAAATATGCGCACATATATATGTGAAGTTAAACTTGTCACGCACATTATTAAAAATCCATTTGGTTTTACGTTACGACTGTAAAACAATTAATTTTCAATCGTTTAATAAATTTTTACTGGGAACAATTACATAATTATTTTCGGCACATTAAATTTCTCCGCCGTTCGTTAAAACGAGTCATGCGTTTCAATGTTGGTTACAAATTTGATAAAGTCTGAAAAACCTAAAAAAACTATTTTTCAAGTTTCATATGTTCTTTGTGTTGTATAATTATAACAACGTAATAACCCATAGAATTTTAATTATTTCACGATGATAATTTTAATTGCCGGCTGAAATTGTATCAAGTCATCGTTTTCTTCTCTTTTAAAAATTTTTTTTTAAATCTATTACTGGCTTTTTTTCAGTACATGAAACGATAGACGAGGTAGTATTTCTTTGGAGAAATTAATGGTGCGTCAAAATTAAGGCATGCATACATGTAATAAATTTGATCTTTTCATTTGATGCATACTTGACAGACTTATTTTTCAATGTTGCTCTAAAAAGTGATATATAAACGAGAAAAAAAAGGTCTTTTTTAAGTAGAAAAGATACATTTCTCAAACATTCCTCTTTTTTAATCTTTAGAGTCTTTTTCTCACAACGTCTAGCATAGATTCTTGTTGTCTCATTAACTAAATTTTATATTATAATATCAACTTGTGGATGTTATTTCTTTCTGATAACTGTGTTGGTAAGCCAGTAAAATTTTAAATGAATCTTAAAGTTATGGAGAGAAGTATCAGCAAAAATAGGTATACTGATCTAAGTATTTATTTTATACAATTTGTCATTTTTTTACTTTGTACCTCATAAACTTATATTGTATCCACTTTCTCTGATACAGGACTGCGTATTATATTATAATAGCATTAATTTCATGGCTGACTGTAACCAAAGCTCAAAAATCCCAAGAGCTTAAATTAATCGTTAACAGCAGCAATACATTTAGTAAACATTTATTTACGGTAATAACTAAACTTTTGCTTCGAAATAAATAGCCAACTATTGTAACATTGATGAAAATTGTTTAAAATTTAAGGAAATTGCCAGCAACAATCAAGATAAAAACCTCATCTGTTCCACTTTAAGCGCTTACACGGTTCTGTCGATGCTTGTTTTCGGAACTCGTGGTTCTACCGATACCTACAATGCATTACATGAAAAGCTGTTCCTGCCAAACAACATTAGTCAGTTTGTTCGTGGTCTTTTCGAAAACTTGCAAAGTTTGAACGTACGATTTTAATTTTCTTCTTCTGCTTTTATCTAGAATTTTTTTTCTGCTGTAAACTTTGAATACCGATTTGAATGAACTACAAATACTCACAGAAGTTTATATAATATACTGCAAAATCTATTCAACAGGATGTCCGAAATGTTCAGTTACGAATGGCTAATACCATATTTATCAGCAATAAATTTACAATACAGCCAAATTACATTAATAACGTCAAGACAATATTTAATGTTGAGCCGGAAAATATTGATGTTTCCAACTCTGTAAAGTCCGCTAAAACCATCAATAAGTGGGTAGCTGATAAAACAAATCATAAAATCCAAGAACTTGTCAATTCGGGTGAGTATCGAATTCAGTTCAAATTTGGGCCTATTTGCGACATTAATAATTTGGTTCATTTTCAGACAACATCAACGAAGGAACTTCCATGATACTGGCAAATGCGATTTACTTCAATGGTAATTGGGAAAACTCATTCGATCCGAGTAAAACTAAAGATCAATCTTTCTACGTATCTGATCACCAGGAAGTGATGGTACCAACTATGTTTAGGGCTGGTAATTATGTGAACGGAGAAATACCTTGTTTGAATGCTGAGTACGTCGAAATTCCTTATAAGGTAAATCCTCAACAATTATTTTTTTTTTTATTATATCCAAAGCTTAGATTATTAATTCAATTCATGCAAATATGATTTTCTTAAGAAAGATTTGTGGAACATGTAAAGAAGGAATTATCACTATGTCTTTCACGTAGCATGTGTTTATGCTTTAAATTGTGCAATCTTACAACATACTTATACGTTTTCAGAATACGTCCATGTCAATGATCATCATCATGTCTAATGGAAAAAAACATTTACAGTCCATTGAAAAAAATTTTGTTAACTGCCAAGAACCGTACAATTTTAAAGGTCAAGAGTCACAAATTTTCTTGTATCTACCAAAGTTTAAGGTGGAAAGCACCATTGATCTCTCGACGCCGCTGAAAAATGTATGGTGTATATTGTGATACAAAAATAAATAGATTTTGTTATAAACTATGTCTGATACATTATCGATTCTGTGTTAGGTTGGCTTATCTGATCTGTTTGGGTCTCCTGACTTAAGCAACATATCAAATGAGCCTCTATATGTCCGCAAAGTAATGCAGAAGGCAATCATCGAAGTTAATGAAAGTGGCAGTGAAGCCATGGCTGTTACAAGTATGCTTTGTTATATGTAATCATGCCAATAAGTATCATTGAGGTAAAATTATTTTAAAATGAAAAAATTATTCAAATGGAAAAAATCTATTTCTTATTATTTCAGCGGTAAACGTTAACAGTCGTATGGCACCAGGGGAAGTTCGTGTCAACAAACCATTTTACTTCTTACTTAAATACAATGGTCTAGTTTTGTTCCAAGGGCATGTACTCAATCCAAAGAATTAGTTAGTTATATGTGAAACTTTATGTGAAACTGTTACTTCAAGTATGTAAGGCACTTCTGTAACCAGTGTATCTTTAATGAGTCTTTATTGCTGTCATAGAAAAAATATATTAACTGATCATAGTAACCGTACAGTTTCATACATTCATTCTTACGGTCATTCCTAAGCAAATGTACTTTTATCACGGGATTTCATTTAAATTTGGACATAATACTTTCATTCAACATAAGTATCTAATGTGAATTATTTAACAAAACTCTTAATTTTTTAATTTTACAGTCATTTAAACTAACATATCAAATTAATTTACGTCAGAATGTTTCAGAAACATTGTAAAATTCTGTTTCTTCCATACATGTTTGTAATTGCTTTAAAAAAATCTTTTTTTATCACTTCTCAGTATATTCATACTACGGCCTTGACTTCAGTGACGTAAGTAGCTTACCAGTTATTCTTAAACAGCACAACTCTGGTGCAAATATGAATTTATCTTCAAAGAACCTTAATTGGTGATGTGCTTTCTCTAATGAAGTTAGGAATGTAAAGCCAGATCTGAGACTAACATATTGCCTGATTTTATGAAAATACAATTTCTAACATAAAATTTGGTTACCTGAAATATGCAGTCACGAAAAAATAAAGCTATCGCGAGAGTGTGACCATAGAAGGTGAGAATAAACTGTAGTCCTTGCTATCTATAAGAGCTAAGGGCTGAAGGTTACTTTCTTTTATCTAGAATACTGTTACTAGATGTGCGATATTAGTCACGTAAACAGATCGTGAAATGAGATGATGTTTGTAGTATCTTTGAATGTTCGCTATAAATATCTTTCTTTTAGTAACTGAGGTATAGTGTCATGGAACTCTTGGGCACTGTTTTGCAGTACCATAAGGCACTGTGCACTATGCTTATCCTACATTAGATGTCATATAATTATTGGAAACTATCATTTCGACACTTCTCGTTAGTGCACGGAGATTTTCACGTTTAATGCTTTAATATCGGTTAGTGATCGAACAGATGAGGAAAAAAATGTTTTGTCGAATTTTCGAGTCATAATTTTTAACCTTAGTTTCAGTGATTATTGTTCTTGAAACTAAATTTACTGAAGAAAATACAAACCTTATCTTAAGTTGTTTTGAGTAGCAACAAAATGATCACATACTACAAGACGACTAATACACGATTTAATATCAGATTTGTATACTATTATGTTCAATTACTAATCTGGATGTGAATATCTAAAAAAAGTGTAGTGCTTCCGTTGTAGCGAAAAACTCAGTCTTAGATGGCATTATTATAATAGCTATAATAATTGTAGTAGCAATGGTTATTTTACTCTTTAATGGTGTTGATTTAGGATGAGATCGAATACCATAGAGCCATGCATTGCTTCCATGTTATGATTTTTCTTGTACGATTCTATCCAAAATTGTTTTTTATTTAACTTTCAAAAATATTCGCAAAACAAGTTTTTTGTTTGTAATAGTCGACTGTGAGTATTATGTTATCGTTATCTTTGCTGTTTTGTTAGGTGTTACCAAACTTGCAATTTTTCGTTTATATACGTATAGCAAGGCGATTGATAAGATAACATTTTAGAGGAGAACTAAATATGCGTTAAAATAAAAGTCTTTATTTGCGCAATATGTTTGATCTTTTTGTATATGCGTACTTTGAAGACATGGTTATAAAACCACTCTAAAAAGTGGTATATATATGAGAAAAAAAATCTTCTTTCAGTAGAGAAGACAAGTTTTTCAAACAATCCACTTTGTTAATTTATAGAACATTTTTTCTTTCTCAACATCTGTAGATACTATAGTATAGATTTTAGCTATACAGTTTTTTATTTGCATGTAAATGTAACTAGTATAGGTAGTATATTTTTACTCTGCTTGGAGCCTGACAAAAATTCAATATGAATCTCAATTTTATGGATAGAAGTATCAGCAAATATAGGTATACTATTAATTTTATGAGTAATTTTATTTATTTATTTTTTCGATACACCCAAACCTCATACTCTATTTGCTTTCTTCGATACAGGGTTGTATATTGTATTATAGTTATTTTAACGTTATGGTTAGCTGTAACCGAAGCTCAAACATCCGATGCGCTTAAAGCAGTAATTACTAGCAACGATGAATTTAGTAAACATTTATATGGGGTAAGAATTGAGTTTTTATATAAAATAAACCAGCCAAACATTCATGCCATTTCGTAAAATTTAAGGCAATTGTCAGCAACTATCAACATGAAAACCTGATCTGCTCCCCTTCAAGTGTCCATACGGTTTTGTCGATGCTTGTTTTTGGAGCTCACGGTTTTACAGAAACTTCTCAAAAATTGCGAAAAAATCTGCGTTTACCAGCTGACGTTCGAAAGCTTACATATGGTCTAAAGGAATACGTAGCAACATTA